TTTTTTTTTAACAATAAATTTCAAAATCAGGAAAATCAATAAAAGTGAAAACGAACAAAGATTGCATGGAGGTATTTGATTATTCAGCATCCTCATGATGATAAACACAATCCGGATCATGATCATGATCAACTGGTACTAATCAAAGATCAAACCTGTAAACTAAAATTATTACAAGTTTGATAACCATTTCTGTGTCGGTTCATTTTGCATTATGCCGACAGCTTCTATATTTTATTCATGTTATAACATCATTACTTATAAGTTAATTCTGATTCACTGTATGAACCGATCGCGAGTTTCGAAATGTCATAATGACAGGCAAAGAATTCCTCCTTCAAATTTTCTTCTTAGTTTTAATTAAATTTTCTAAAGCTTCAAAAAGGTTGGGATAATTCAAAAAAATTAAGTTTGGATTTTTAACTCTATGAGCTTTATTATCAGATGATGCGACAAGGTAATCCACATGGGAAGAGCGATATGTTTGGTGATAGCTATCGGATTGCCTTCTCCAAAATAATATGCAATGTTTGATTATTATTAAGTCGTAGCTGTTTCAGATAATTGCACCAGCAAAGGAGAAATAGTAATAAATGGATGAAAAAGGTGAAGAGGACTTTCTTTCAAAATGGAATCCGGAAACTGATATTATCAAAATTTTATTCTCCGATAAGACCAATGATTTAAAAGAACAACTCGTGAGTTTCATCTATATTTTAGCACGAAAGTTGACCTATACATTGTGATATTGTTTATTGTTAGCATGCTTGTGAAATATGGCGTCTTGCAAATTTCATATTTTATAGGATTTAAGCTGAACTATGAAGGATTGAAAAAGTTAATGAGTGATTAAATCAGTGGGGAATAAATATGATGGAAGGATTTTATCCCTCTTCAATGACATTCGTTTTTTCTTCTTTTTTTTTTAGGAAGTATTAGAAATTGGGCAGATAAATTTGAATGTTGAAAGTAATATTATTAATGGGAATGAGAAGGTATGAAATTGTCACAATTTATTTCTTTTTTTGTATTTTTGTTTGAATGATATGATGGAAGGAATGATTAGGCGTTAGCGTTAGCGAAAAGTGAAATTCATTTCCTGAGTGGTATATTGGAGGTGTATGTGAACAGTATGAGGGACAGGAAGAAAGCGTGGATTGATCAAAGAAAGGTTCGTTTTCTTTTTTTTCGAAAAAATTTCTGTCAATAAAAGAAATGCCATTTATTGGAGCAATTAAACTGTGCCATTGTGATTTTAATCAGAAATGATTGCTTGTAAGATATCTTATAATCTTCTATCCACATTAATTTTAACTAAATTTAAAAGTAAAATTTAATCCACATTGCATTAAATTTTACTTTTAAATTTAATTAAAATTAAGTTTCATTGTATGGAAAAGTATAAATAATGGAACAAAATTTGCAGTGAGAAAAAATAATTGAATGAAAATTCTGTCAATGTTTACAGAAAAGACGAATGCATCTTATAGAACAAGTGGCCACTTTCTTCCAATACAAGCAAATAGTCGCTAATATGCAAATTACTGACATTAATTCTTCATTTCGTACTGGAAAATATGGCGCCATTGTGAGTTCAGATCATTCTATTTATTTAAAATTATGAATAGCACGAATGCTTAACAGAAAAGATCCGTACAAGGAAGAGACATCAAATTTTAGTTTAATTTCATCTTTATTTGTCTATTGTTAAAGAAGAACAAATCCTGTCTTTGTCGCAAAAACAAGCGCTGTTGGACAGGTCGGGAATGAGGAGACTAATTTTTTATCAATCATTTTCACATCAATTAAAACATAACATAATTCTTCAAATTTCGATTTGACAATAAATTTCTCAATTTCTAATATGCATTCCACTTTAAAAGTCACTAAAGTTGGCTAATTAACCACTAATTAATTATCATAAGATTTTGCTAACAGAAATTAAACAGACAAGAACTTGCACTTTTGAATTCGCTCAATGAAATAATTAATCCGACGATAAATTTCGAAGAAAGTAAGAGAGTTCGCAATAAGAAACTACAAATCTCCGTGGAACAAGGAATGAAAATTGTGAACAATTTACCTGATCAGGTTACTAACTATTGTAAAGGTGAGAATCAGAGAAGTTAACATTTTGCTTTTATTGTTTGTAAGGAGGCCGTTCCTTTCAGATAAACAGATAAAAATTTTAAGTGCAGAAGATTTTGACCATCGTCCATTTCCACTTTGTTTTTTATGCTTTTTATGATGTTGAACTGAAAAATCTCAAGTCAGTGAGACCATTTTTAGGCAGTGAAATTAAATATTTGCTTGATCGTCTTTCCAACTGTCATTTATTTTGGAAGATTCCGTTTTGGCCGCAGAATACGATTACCGTTCAGCAACTCTCTGCTACTATTTTCACACAGGCAATTCATAAAAATTGAATAAAGTTTAAAATTTTTCAAATTTTGATTCACTGAATTTTTTATATTCATCCTACTTCTGTGCTGAAAATTTTTCAAATCTTGGCTAATAGCTTGCAGAAAATTCTGCTACGTGTTTCATAATTGATAACGAATCAAATTGTAGTTCTGCTATGAGGGTAGAGATAACCAGATTGAAAAATTTTAAAGCAATGAATTTTTCACATTTAACTTTAAACATGCGAAAACGAAAAAAGTTAGATAGTCTCTATTTTACTAGAACTGGCTAAATACTTTTAGAAAATTCATTACAGTGACTTATTAAAATCTGATGGTCAACCTTTACAACAAAAGATGAACGAAATATGGGAGCTATTAAATGATGATATTACATAATAGCATAAAAATTAGCTTTAAAACTTGGAAAATTTACGAATGAAATATGAATGGTCATCATCAGGAAATGTAGTGTTTGACAATTATCGTGGCTAAGTTTGTCCAAAGTTTTGTGATAACTAAAGTTTAAAAAAAAAAAAACATAGCATTTTGATCGCATGAAAAAATTTTTAGCTTAGAGCTAAAA